AGAAAAACAGGTTTCCTGGAAGACAGAGACAAAAGTTAGAATCCAGTCTGGATTCATAGTAAACAAAGGTTCACAGAGATGCTAGGCTTAGGTGCTAACCAACTGGATCAACACTGCGGCGTTGAGGCAAGGTCTGAAGACAGCTTAAGTACTGTGGATCCTCTGATGATGGAATGGGATGCAGCTGTGAAGGAGGCTCAACTCAGGAGGATCCACGGCGGACTCTGCTGGAGAAAGGTGGTATTTCTCCAGCTCCCAACAGTAATAGGCTTGTGCACGCTGTCGCACCATTTCCTCTCAGGAGCGGGTACAGGGTTTTGCAGGTGCTTATTTTTTTTTTACTCTGCGCAAAGCATTCTGGGATATATCTGCCTCTTCTGAGGCCTTTCTTTTCTTCTCATACACTTTGTAGAAACTTTTTGTCTTACGATCCTCTGCCATTTTCAAAGAACTGTAGGGAGAAAGCTGTGTTTCAATGAGACCGTAGCTCACTGCAGATATACCCCTGAAAGTGAAGATGCGCATAGTTAATGAGACGAAAACATAGGACGGCCTTATGTAAGTTTTAGTTTTTGTATATATATGTATATTTTCGCATGGAGCATTATAGCAAAAGCCGTAAGGCTCCAGCTGTGAAAACAAATCTGTTTGATGAGCAAATCTGTTTAGCTGTTAACCTTACAAAATGTAAAGAAGAAAATTCATTTGCTAAATGGAAATAATGCAAAAATAAAATAAAAAAAATAATACAGTTAAAAAAACACGTTTTCCGATTAAAAGGTTTTTACGCTTCGAATAGGGGATTTTTCAGTTTTTATATTTTTCAAAACTGCAATGAAAACACTTTGTTCACTTTGTGCAAGTCACGTTAAAAAAAGATGTGTAAAAATACGAGAAAGAAAACAGGAAGCAGTCGGAAGATGATGGCACCCACTAGAGCCATGGCTGAAATATGGATATATATTAGGGGTGGAATGGTTCACAAAATCCACGGTTCGGTTCGGTTCACGGTTTCGTGGTCGCGGTTTTCGGTTCGGTTCGGTATATGTTTATTGTTACACCGAAATCCAATAAAAATTAATGATATTAATAAAAAAATCCCCCAAAAAATAATGGATTGTAATTATTTTAAATGATCCGCGGAAACCCTGGATCATTACCGCATGTTTTGCTGCTTTGAATTTAATCATCTCGCAACGATCTCCAAGGAACTCAGAGCGGAGCGGACGGGAGCCACAGCGGAGGCTGTATGCTTTGCTTTGTGCAGGCGGTCTGGTGCGCAGCGGGGCAGAGCGGAGCGCTGACAGAGTTTGTGGGATTTCGGGGTTAGCATGACATGTTGGTCATGTTGCTGTTAGCATAAACAAAAC